GCAAGGGACCAGCAGTTGGCATAATGGCTGTGTTGCTGGACTCCCATGTAGTCGACTGCGGGTTAAGTCCCGGATCCGGTGGCTTAAATTCACACCGGGCATGTGTGCATGCATGCCCAAGATCCTGAGAGGAGAAGGGATTGCAGTGTGGCCATCCCCCTGGGGTGTGATTTCTTGCTTTCAGTCTCTCTGTCTGTCTCTGTCTTTCTGGAGAGCACATGCGTACTATAGCAGAAACCTCTCGAAAAGGAATGTAGTATAAATGTTAAAATTCTTGCTTTATTTCTTCATTCATTCTGTGAGTGAGAGGAACAGAGACACACACAGATATGGCACCCCTACCTTAGTCATCCATAGATCATGGACACAAATGTGCCTGGCATTCTCAGAGATGTCTCTGGATGTGAACCCGTAACCCTCTCGTGTAGGTCTTTTCTGCAGAACATTGCATTTTACCACTGTCCCACCATGTGGCCCCTCATTTTAAAATATTTTAATCATATTTTTTAATATCACCACCTGTCTCTTCAGAAAAGTTCTTTAAGTGTTGGGAAGCTGTCTGTCATGAAAGATTCAAAACTCTAATTTTAATTTAAGGGAAGTAACACATCATTTTGTTTCTTTTTCTTTTTCTTTTTCTTTTTTTTTTTTTTTTTTACAAAGTGCCAAATACATCTGAATAGCCATATTGAATATCACCTTCTTTTTTTTTTTACATGAAAATGGTACTCCATGAACACATCCTTATGACTTCTACCTCAGAGCTGTCAATGTGATTCATATTCAGATACCTACAGGGGGCAGGGGGGAGGCTTACCCAATTTCCCAGCCATTATCTGACATATCCTTACGTGGCACAGCACATGGCAACCAGTGTGTAAGAACCATGTCTGGCTGATGACTCAGGAGAGTCCAGGTCTTACAGAACAAATGAATTAGCATGATACATATTTTAATACATAGATATGAATAGAGTAATTACGGTATGAGAAGTAAAATATTTTCAGATTTTATCATTTTATTTGCTTTTTCAAGCACTCATATGACATACCTCGTTTAGAGATGAAGCTTGTCCTTAAGGTTGTGTTCACATTCTGGTGCCACTTTCACATTGCTTGGGGTGTTAACAGTACTTTAAAGCTACTGTGGGATCTGTTCCAAAAATATTGCTCTATGGTCTAACTTTGACTATGGATTTTCTACCATTATAAACATAGACTTTATTCCCTTTCACAATAATATTAACAAAAAGACATTGGTAAAGGAGATTTCTTTGATTGACTAACAATTTTTTCATTGTTCTAATGGGTGTCTTCCTCCTTCACAAGGGAGGAAAATCCCCTAAAACATGTGTGAGTATAACCTTATATTGGTATTTCTATTTGTTAACAAATAATTAATACTTTTCCATTTCACAGATTTAAAATTGATTTTTTTTTTTTTTTTTTTTTTTTTTTAAAGACTGGCTTTCTTATTTAGGTAGGGAGAGAAAAGGCTAGGAAATGTATTGCTGCCATCTTGAGAGGATGGTAGGTTTGGTAACTCTTCCTCCTATGAAGGCCCTGGAACGATTTTTATACAGGTGTCGGTTTTTGGCTCTCTGTGAGAACATCCCTATCAGTGTACATACATGCTTACGAACATCTTTGTTTACTTAGTGAAACAAAGCCGGGACTATTTTGGGAAAAATATTTGGGGCCTGAGTTTTCTCTCATTCATCCCATGAGAGCAGTACTAGAGGGTTTAATATATGTGGGTTAATGATGAAGAAAACAAAAATAGCATCCTTTTGGGAAAATATAACCTAACACAATTTAAAAGGGGACCCAAATGGAAACATAATATTTTTATGAAACAGAACGATTTTATCTGTGTTATCTTTGTTACATGGATACCATCTAAAATTTAAAGGAAATCCAGACTTCCTTTCTTTGATTGTGTGTGTGTATGTGTGTGTGTAATTTTTTTGTAACTTGCCATAAGGTGTATGTACTCGCTACAGACAGACAGAGTGAGAAGGAAAGTGAGAAAGCATCCCCCACAGAGGACGATCACACCACAATTCCTTCTCCTCCATTTCTCTCTTCTGTTGGAATTCTAGGCATGCATGTGTACCCAGCATGTTTTTCAAGGTACCAGGCCCAGTACTCAAACCATTCAATTGTTTATGTGGGATTCAGCTGCCTTAACCACTACGTTGCCAGCTGGCCCTATATATATTTTTAAAGCAAGAAGTCAGAGACTTTGTACATCTTGATTTTGTTTAACTCTTGTATTTCTTAGAACTGTGTGTCACAAGTAACTAAATTGGTCATATTTTGAAAAATAATTTTTGTACCCTCGAAGTGCTTTTATTGTTTTATTTTTATGATAGAGAACACATGAATGCAAGGGAGAGGCACCCTAGACAGGGTCTTAGCATGCTGCGATCCCCTTCTTCCAGCTCCTTGAGATCCTGGGCACCCACATACGCACACATATCCCTGATACGTTTTCAGGCAAACCTGGGATCCTAACCCTTGGTGGGCAATGTGGCTTCCATCCTTGTAAGCATTGTATTATTGCTGCACCTCGGTGGCTGGGCCTCAAAGTGCTTCTTAACTGTATGTAGCCTATCTTTGGTTCTGACCCCACTATCCCCACAAAGATGAATGACATCAGTTTTCCCATTGGCTTTATTTATGTATGCCATCAACCAACATGTCCTAGAGCTATGCAAAGTACAGAGTATTCTTACTGCACTCAGCCCTGCCAGGCAGTAGACAGTTTATTCTTTTTTTGTTTTCCCTTGTTTTTTTTTAGTGGAACACTAAATGCCTTAGTATTTTTTTTAAAGTTTCCTTCTTTCTTCTGTGAGAGAGAAAAAGAAATGCCCCAATCAGAGTCTTTGTGCTGCCATCTACCCTAAGCCTCAGCCAACCAGAATCACAGATTCATGTGTAGACCCTGCATGAACAGGGAGACCTCAGGAAAAATAACCTAGTACCTTCCTATGTAGCCTCACCTCACGGAGCATTGCATTACCCTGTACTACTAAGGCTGCCAGCACTTTCTTTAACTATTTTTTTATTTGCCAAAGATTGCATGAACTGGCCTTAGGTAGGGGAGAATGAGAAGGCACCCTCCCCCCCAATGAGGGATGGTCACACTGCAGTCCCTTCTCCATTTCTCCCTCCTTTGAGGGTTTTGGGTATGCACACATACACATCTGACGTGCTTTTCAAGCCACTGTGTCTAGACTCAGAACTGTACAGCTTGCCATGTGTGATCCAACCCTGTTAACCACCACGCCACTAGCTGGCCCACTTTAACTTTTTGATAGGTATAAAGCAAAGCCTGAGAAGCTATCCTTTTTTTTTTCTCTCTCTCTCTTTTTTTGGAGATTTTTTTTTTAGCTATAGGGCACGTGCACTCGCCAGAGAGACAGAAAGCGAGAAATCACCCCCCATGGGGGATGGTCATGCCACAATCCCTTCTCCTCTATTCTCCTCTCGGGATCTTGGGCATGCACACACACGTGCCTGGCGTGAGTTTAAGCCACCAGATCCGGGACTCGAACCACAGTCGACTATGTGGGAGTCCAGCAGCATAGTCATTATGCTAACTGCTGGTCCCATGAGAAGCTGCTCTTGCGAAGTATTGTTAATGCTGTAGTACAAATTAAAATTTCAGAAAATCTATAGGTGTGGTGTGGCTAACTTTCGTTGTTAATGTCCTAAATCATCTGAAGGCTTGTTTTCTTTCTTTTTTTACAGACCTAACTACCATAGTGAATGCTGCATATTCAGAGAAACCACAAGAAGGTTATATGTTTGGTTGTCTAATATTCTTGGATTTGATATGAACCAACACAGTCCTTTGTGTCATTGACAGAACCCCAGTTTGTATGTACATTATTCACATTCCTCTGTTGTATTTGGGAAAAAAGACATTTTAGCCTTTTTAAGGTTGTTAATTTAATTTCATGTTATTTGGTTGCATGAAGTTGCCCTTGACCACTAAGGATTATCAAGATTTTTGCACAGATTTATATATGTCTAGGATCCTTTTATCAAGGCAGTTACGTTCATCATTTTCCTGCCTTTACTCCACAGTTACCAAACACTCAGTTAAATATAAATTAGAATTTTTTTTTAGGTGACCATTCAACATAATGCTTACAGATGGAATTTGACAGAACCCAGGAACTAATTCCTAGATGCATAATGTTGGTGTATCGAAGATAAAATTTAAATTGTCCTTCAGTTTGAGGCCATGTGTAAAATTTAATCATATTGTAAAATATCTATTCCGTAATAGAAATAGCTAGTTGACAGCTTATACTTCTCAAACTCATGTTGTTATTGTACACAAACTGAGTTTCTCTATGTGAAGTTAGTGAGTCTTTTTGTGTTACTCCAAAATAAAGGCAATGATTTATTTTTTTCCCAGTGTCAGTACAATTTGAGTTAATCACTCAAGGTGGGTACTTTACATTTTAAAGCTGGAATCAGCAGCAGCCCTATGGGAAACCAGACAAAGCATTGACTTTTAGATAGAGACTTTTAAAATGAACTGTTTTCTTTTGGAACTAGAATTAGAATAGTTAATATTCATCCACAAACCATTACTATGTGTACATTATTGTTGCTATTGTGATAATAGAGAATTTTATTTATTTTTATGCCAGCTTATATTGTGAGACCACATTTTTGTCAGTTTGGGTTTTATCAATCCTGTTATGCTTGTCCTTGGAACATCTTTCGCGTACTCGAGGTTTGTAGTTGAAAAGTTTACTGTAAAAAAAAATCAAAAACAAAAAAATGTATTGTTTTTACAGAATAAATTTATTGGAATGTGTACTGGGAGTAAGGTTTGAGGTTGTAAACAACTAAGTTAGTGTAATTTGACTTCATATATGTAATGTGAGGTATTATGTAATCCATACATTAAAGCAAAAATTGTTAACAGCAAGTTGACAGTAGAATCAAGCGCAGGTGAGGGTTTTCTTTTTTTTTTTCTTTTTTTTTTTTCTTTTTTTAACAGTCTCTGGGTTTTAGTTTATTTGAAAACTCTGGGCCAGTAGGTGGGGGAGTAACTATATGATTTGCTTGTACTAAGAAAATATTTACCAGTTCAGTGGATCCCAAATTCACACACTTGACATTATGCATTGATTTGAATCCTATTTTCTTTTGGTTTTCTTATCTTGGTGAAGAGATAATAAATCCCATGAAAAGAAAATGAAAGAAGACCTAAAGCTTATAGGGCCCTTCTGATGATGGTGATGATGGCAGTAGAGGGTGTGAGAGCACCAACCCCCTTACCATTCCAGGGCACATTGCAGAAGCAGCCGCATTTTCCGTTTGTTCTCCCTCATTTAACAAATACTGATTTTCTCTATTGTACTTGCAAAGATTTCCATATGTGAGAGGCTCATGAAAAGATAGTAGGAATGGCAGTCTAATTCTTTTTTCTTAAAAGGCACTTTCCTTTTTTCTTTAATTGGCAGAGGACTCATATACTTGCCAGAGAGAGAGAAAAAGCACCTCACAGTGGGGTGTGGTCACACTCCATCTTTTTCCCTGTATTTCTGCTCTCATCAGGATTTGGGACATCACTGCACAGATGTCCTGGCTGGTTTTGGAAAGCAGATTCAAACCACTGTCAGCCATGTGACATCCAGCTCCCAACAGATGGTGCTTAAGCACTGTGTTAGACTGCTGGCCCAAAAGGTACTTTTTAATTTTGAGTATTGTGATTTATTTTTAAAATAATGAAATTTAATTCATCAAAGGGCAGTCTCTTTATTGTTTACAATAAAACATAAGAATGTAGATGATATTTTTAATTGAAACATAGAACTGACATTTTCTTAAAAAGCTAAAACCTGTCATGAAAAAAAATCTATGGTACAGTGATTCAGATTAAATAAGGTTTGTCTTCATAAAAGGCCAAAAATAATTTTATTAAAAATATACACAGATATACAGTAGAAATGTCAGCCACCAGTAAAATAGGTCTTCATTAAGGGTAATGACACAGTTACTGATCTCTCATTTAGCTGTTTAGATTCACACAAAGTTTTAGTAATTTTTAAAACAGTAATGAATAGTATACTTTACTTGGGAAAGCATTTTCCAAACAACACTTAAGAACAAATATTCTGATGATTAGGCCTTTTATATTGAAGTTGATAATGAATCTACTACTACATTGTATATACAGAAGTTGTTTCTCCAATTTGTGTTTGCTATTTTGATTTTATTTTATTTTTAAATTTCTTTTTAGTTTGCTATAGGGCACGTACACTCTGCAGGCACAGGGTTGTGGACTGAGAAATTACCCTCAGCAGGGATGGCCACTCTGCAATCCCTTCTCCTCCTGGACTTTGGGCCCGCGTGTACACACACCTGGCCTAGCTTTCAAGCCACCAGGTCTGGGACTTGAGCCACGGAGAAAGCCATGTGGGATCCAGCGCCTTAACCTTCAAACTGCCTGCTGGCCTGCTTTTCTGAATTTTTCATATGCATAGACAACATTCCACACTTTTAAATAATTTCATTTTCATGCTCACTGTTGTAGGCACTACATTGTAATTTTCACATTTATAATTAGTGTGTGCAAATACTATTGAGGTGGATGGTCAGGTTTATTCACAAAAAAATTTTGAGTATATTTCCATAAGCTGTTTCTCAACAACTTCAATTTTCCTTCAAAAAGAAAATTTACCCCCACAATGTCATACATATTGCAGCACAAATTGATGTATTCTTAAGTATTCATGGATGAGAAGGGAATGAAATGAGACAAATACTAGTACCAGTGTAACAAAAAGTCAGTAATCCAGAGAGGAAGAACATGAAGTAATACCTTCATTCCACTTTTTCTTCTGCCTTTGTTTTTATGAAGAATTCTGGTTTATAGATACATCGATAGGCCAAGAGCTGAGGAAGAACTCCATATGCTATGTTTAAGGCTAAAAAAAGGATTTTTGCTTCTTCAGGGACTCTGTACACATAAGCAGTTCTAGCGTGAAGAGAAGCACCAATGTGAGAAAACTGAGCCTGTTGCATTTAAAAAAAAAAGGGGGTAAGCATGAAATTTGTGCGCAGTTGAATGGATAATGAGTTCTTTCAGAATAGTTCATTCAGACCACATTTCTGTGCCCTCAAAATTACTCTCACCTGCAGGCAAAATACCTTCAAATAATCCATAGTTTGTAATAAGATAATCTTCCTTTAAATTTTGTCTTTTATTACATTTAGGACCATCTTTGATATAAATGTTCAAATAAAGTATACTTTCCTTAGTGTGGTTTGATCATGCCAGTTGTGTTTTTTGTTTTGCGTTTTTTTTTCTCTTTAGATTTTTGCCATAGGGTGTGTGCGCTCACCAGAGAGAGACAGAGATAGGGAAGAGACAGGGAAAGTGAGAAAGCACTCCCTAGTGGGGATGGCCATGCCACAGTCCCTTCTCCATTTTCCTCTTGGAGTTTTGGGCACATGTGCATACATGCCAAGCATGATTTTCAAGCCATCGGATCTGGGATTATACTGCAATTGTTCATGTGAAAGTTCAGCACCTTAACCACCATGCCACCTGTTGGCCCTAACCAGTTGTGTTTTTTCATTCATCCTGTGCCTTATACAGAATATTAGTATCTTGGTTTAACAGAAAGATCTGAATAAAATCTCAATTTTTTTTCTGATTTACATTCTAGAGACCCTACAAAGAGACTCAGTTGCAGTTCACAAATTATATTCCAATAAAGTGAAGACATTTTTTAAAAATTTGTTATAGGACATATGCATCCCCAAAATATTTTAGATAAAAATATTTTTAATCTGACAAACTGTTTAAAGAGAAGCACTGAGGACCACAGCTTCATTTATCAATCTTCTATGTACTCCTTAGAGCAAGAGCTCAAAGCCCTTTCATTATGTATTTTTGCTTCCTTATTTATTTATTCATGTATTTGTTTTTCATGCAACTTAAAAAATATTAAAGGCTGTTTTGTAAGATAAAGTTGTTACCAACTTGGACAAGGGTGGGAATATGGTTGCTCTTTATAAAATGGCATACATGTAGGCAACCTTTAGAAATCAAATTGTAATTTATTTAGAAATATCACTGGTCAGCGTATTCTAAGTTTGTAAAACAGAAAGACAGGGGCCTCCCTCTGTATTTATATACTTGTTCAGAAGTATGCCATTTGGTCCTTTTTGATACTTTTCGTAAGCATAGAGGGAAACTAATAGAGTAACACAAGTCACAGAAGGATTTAAAAATCCTGGTAGACTATTTCCTCAGGAGGTTTGCATCATCACAAAATGCAACCTCAGAGTATACATTTTTCATATCTTGCTGAAATTTAGGATATACATGAATAAAGGATTGGGAGTCTAAATGTAGTAAGTAGTAAATTATTAGTTCATCAGAATCAGTGTGAAAAGACAAAACATTTAGCATTCTGGGAAGGCACAGAAGTCACAAATGAACTAAATAATTTGCTTTAAATGCATATAAGTTATTTTACATTTTCATTCCATATCAATTTATTCTGTTAAGTGGCTAGCGGATACAGGTGTTACTTACCACTTGCCTTTACCAGGAAAAGAAAAGGGCAAGCTTTTATAGGCAGCATCTTTATGAATTTTTATCACTGGCAGATATTTTAATGAGCTACATTTTTATAAATTACTGATATATTCTAGAGACCTCTGATACATTTTTGCTATTCTCTAGAGATAGAAATTAAGTTACTGTGGTATGTTGCCAAGTATCAGCTAATGGATTGCCTTGCCTGCATAGTGATCCATGAAGCCTGAGAGGGCTCTGCTCTCAAACGCACCTTCCCTAAGCAGATGCTCCAGCAGAATCCCACAAACGTGTCTACGCTCTTGTCTACAAGGACAGAAGGCCTTGGGGATAAAGGGCATTTGTGGGCCGCCCTGATAAGCTGCTGTTTGGACATTCTAGGAACAAGAGCTTGGCTCCCATCACTATTTTTCCCTAGGACATATTTTGAATAACAGTGTTTTTCAGAATATATAGCCAAACTTTTCCTTCTGAACTGAAGGCCGGATTTGAACCACGGTTTTCAGAAATATGGGTTTAGTGGCACTATCTTTATAGACAGTTGTACACATCACAGATTCACCAGATTTGGGGAACTGCCCACCATACTTAGAGAATAAGTACTGTGAACATGTGTGCCCGCTCACACAGGAAAGCCTGCATACCAAGTCAGTGACTCCGTAGGCTCTTTTCCTGCACTCAGTGGTGCAGTTAATACCTCATTTTCATGAACAGCAAACTCATGACGACATTGAAACATGATTCCTGTCCTTAGATTAGATTGTAAGCCCACTGGGCAGGTACCGTGTCTGATATTCTGTGTGGCACCTATCACATTGTTAGCACTCAATAAACGTTCAGCAACTGTGATCTTGTGACTGTCAAATACAAAAAGGATCTAACAAAGCATTTCTCTACTTTTATACTTATTTTTAGTAGGCCTTTTTATCCAGAACAGTTAAACAAGGGGCAAAGATTGTTATATTCCTGATCAAAAGAAGTGTCTGTGCAAGAGCCCTGCAGCCAGTTCTCTGCAGCTCCCAGTACTGCTCACTGATCTAATGGGTGTATTTATGGAGCCTTCACACACCTCCAGCTGAGTGAGCACCAAACTGCACCATAGCTTCTTCCTAAGGCACATGGCTTAAGGCCATTAACTGTCCAGGTTCTCAAGTTTCAGGAAAAAATACTCTCCTGAGGGTTCTCTTCCACGCACATAGCCGAGAAGGAGCTGGACCGTGTCTACCAGGTGATGTGGCCACCAGCACCCAAAGCCTCCCCGTGACGAAGCCTGAGAAGCTCAGCCTAAGTATTATGCGGAGGTCAGTGTCTCATTCAACTATTCCTGAAATGACGTATGCCTCAGAACTATACATACAAATGACATATTCCAGAAATTTCTCCAACATCTGGTGGTGACAGGAGCTTGAGTTCCTAATAATTTCCTTATACTCCATTCTAAATCCCATTTCACTTTACGGGGGAAACTGAAAGATGAGGGATCTTCACAAAGTTCAGGGAAGATACAAATTATGGAAAAACTGCATGAATTTCAAAACTTTTTTGCACCAAAGTAAACATGTACTTTAATTCCGTTTTTCCACACTCATGAAGTCCTCTTACAGTTACACGCCACATAATGGTGCATAACAAAGGTCAGTAACAGGCTGCATACACAGCAGTGGCCCTGCAATGTTATAATAGGCTGTACCACACAGCCTAGGTATGTAGTAAGGCCATACCATCTAGCTTTGTAAGTTCACTCTTTGGGTGTTCATGAAACAATGAAACTGGCTAAACATGCAGAACAGAACATATCCCCATCATTCAGTGACACATGACTGTACTGTACTTTTTTTTTTTTTTTTTAAGCATGGATAATTGGAATGAAAAATGAGACAGTAAAAGTGAAACAAAGGCTAAATTTTAATAGCTGTTTTCTTAGACAACCTGGGAAGGATGATTAAAAATTACAATCCTGGCTCCAAAAGGAAGAACTGAAAGTTTTGTGTACCCACTTGAGTATTACAGGCAAAAACTAATGTGAACGTTGGGATGACAGCCAAGTTATTTGGCTGATACAGTATAAGCCAGGGACTAGGAGAGTCTGAGGACTGTGAGTGGGAAGAGCCTATTGTGAATCTCCAAAACTTTCTGCCCGCTTCTTTGAATTTTAGGTAATTATATACAGTACACAAAGCTTAATTGTCTGTAGATCAGTTAATTAATTTTGAGCAGCGTAAGTCATTTCTCCTTCAAACTCTAGTGGGAATCTTCTACTAGTATTAATAATGGCAAAAACATTACATAGTCATTATGTGCCATCCATTGTTCTAATCCCTTTACATAATTACCTCATTTAACCCTCACAGCAACTCTATGGAAATGTATTATTATCTTCACTTTATAGAAGAGGAGACTGAGGATCAGAGAGTTCAGTAAAAGTACTCAAGTCATTGAACTAATAGTCATTGGCAGGCTGGAATTTGAACCAGTCTGCCTCCAGAGCTCATGCTCTTTGTTTTTTTGTTTTTTTGTGGGGTTTTTTTGGAGAGGTTTTTGCCATAGGGCGCTTGCGCTTGCCAGACAGACAGAGACACAGAGAGACAGAAAGCGAGAAATCACCCCCCCAGGGGGGATGGTCACGCTGCAATCCCTTCTCCTTCATTCTCCTCTTGGGATCTTGGGCACGCACGCACGCACACGCGCCCGGTGTGAGTTTTAAGCCACCGGGTCTGGGACGCGAACCACAGTCGACTACGTGGGAATCCAGCGACATAGCCATTACATTAACTGCTGGTCCCGGAGCTCATGCTCTTAACCTTATTAACTGTTGGCTCTGGGTTTTTGTTTGCATTTTCAATGATATTTTAGTAGAGAAAATACTTCAATTGATAGAAAATACTAATAAATGGATTGAAGTAGCCTAGAATACTTTCCAAATGAGACTTGCAACTTTAAACCTATGATAAGTACTTTGTTTGAAAAAGATAGTTGGTTATGAATAAGTCCCCAGTGGAACTCTTTGTTCTAGATTGTGTCCTGGTTTTGTTTTTATTCTTTTATTTTCACTTTTTAATTGATATTTTGTTTTCTGAAGGCAACAGATTAGGCAGACTCCTAACGTCTTAAATCTAGGACCCAATATATACCTGGCATGTCTTCCCTTGACCTATACAGATCAGTACTTTTTCAAAGATTTTTTTTTTTCTTCTTAATTGCATAGTCTTGGGAATTCACTAGATCATTTAGTAAAAGCAAGTTTTGATAAAGTTAGTGGGGTCATGAATGGTGTGGCTTCTAAATTAGAAATGGCATTTAAGCTATCGAGGGGCACTGGTCAAGTTTATAGACAGTGCTTTCCATGGTGAATGTGTCAGATACTCTCCCAAGATGAGAATTCACTTCAGAAATAAGTATTTGCAAAGTCCAAGTCTTAACCACTACAACTCAACATTCTGACTGTTTGCACTGTTTTGTTGCAGTAGACATTAAAGCCAGCCAAGAGCTATGAAAATGTCAGATATATAATTTCTTGAATTATGCCACTCTTCACATACTGGGTTGGGAGAAACATCTTTCTGACCTTTACAGGATCTGGCCCTTAGCCTCAGGCTCGGTGTCTGGACACTCAACAGCAAGAGAGGGGCTTCAGGCTACCTTGATGGATAAGTCCAAGGATTTCTGCAAGGCCTGAAGTCGGATTGAAGCTGCTACTCTGCAGTCCACACTACCCTTCTAAGAACCACCCAGCTGGAATCACAGGTGCCAATCTACAAGCTTAGCCTCACCAACAGGTAGAGTCTGGGGTTACTCTTAACTGCTACAGGCCCATAGACCCATTTGCCTCCAAGCTGTGGCCTTCCTAAGCCCTTGATTTGGTAGACCCTGTTCACAAGGCCTTCACTCTTGTTTTCTTGCCCAGTTCTGTAGTCATCTCCTGAAACTTGACCAGCTCTAACATTTGACAGGTCCAACACTGGTCTTCTTTTGCCAGCCTCGTATCTGACTTTACTCTGCGTTTCTGCATCAGGGGCTCATATATGGCACACTGAGGAATGTGACATGCAAAGGAGGCCAAGTTGTGCAGACAAAAGATCAAAAATAGTAGCTGTTGGACTCCAAGCAATCTAATTCTCTAAAAGGGCTGAAAAGAGGCCAGCAGGTGGTGTGGTGGTTGGGGTACCTGGACTCCCACATGGCTGACTGCAGTTTTGAGTCCCAGACCTGGCATTTGGCTTTCTCACTTTCCTTCACTCTGTCTCTCTGGTCAACTTCAAAAAAAAAAGACAATGAATGAAGTTAAAAAAGAAAGGGCTGACAAGAAGGAGATAAGTATGAGGCCATCCGTCCTGGAGAATAAGGCAGGAGAACCAGGCCAAAGAAAAAACAACCTATGGCTTCCTCTGCCTTCTGGTGCACACCCTCACACCTAAGTGTCCTCAGCTCAATGAAGTCCCACTCAGCCCTCAGAGCCTAGCTCAGACATCACTGTCTCCCACCTCCTAAAGGTTCTCCTACTCCTCGATGCCACATACAGAACCCTTTGTGCTCTAGGACCCTGTGCCATTGCTTACTGTATGGGACAGGGGGAGTTATCACAGTGAAGAATGGGCTTTGGAGCCCTGAGCCTTAGCCCGAGCTTCCACGTGAAATGGGGGTTAAAAGACAAATGGTTGCAAAGATAATACTATATATTCATTACATTCTGAGGCACACATGACTACATTGGTTTACCAGCCTTTTATGCAGTCGAGTTGGTGGCAGGCCTGGCTCTTGAAAGTATCTCACATGAACCTTGCATAAGCAAGAAACAGAATTTAACTGTGTTAAGCCACTGAGTATTTCCTGCTACAGCCGAGCACAGAGGGAAGGAAAATACTTAGCACGGTTTGCCTGGCATGGAGTAAAGCAGTAAGAGCTCAGAGTAGTATGGTCTCAGTGGAGCTGGGAAAGGGCTGGATTTGAGAATCACCTGGACTCACAGCTAACCAGACTAGTGAGGGCCTAGTTATAGAGGGTGAGGGACAGGAGGTATGAGGAATTGCTCTAAGTGTTTGGCTTACGCTGCTGGTTTCAAGAAAGGGCTACTTAAGAAAAAAAGATGAACAGAAGTTGTAGAAAAGACCAAGAATCTTATTTTAGATGTTAAATCTGAGGTCTTATATATCCAAGTAAAAAAGATTGAGTTTGGAATTAAATCTAGGTGTCTGGAAGCAGTTTGGGCTGAAGATAGAAAACTGGATGTCATCAGCTTATCGATGGCATCGAAAGACATGGAAATAAATAGACCCAAAACAGCCCTGAAGAATCAAATATTAGAGGGCTGAAGAGGAGGAGCAATAAGTAAAGGGAGATAAATGTGAGTTCTCTTTCCTCTTAAGTCCCTCAAGGAAAAAAATTATTTCTGGATGTTGGATCAGCTTCTTTGATTGATACATATTCTAATTATATAAAATATTCTAATTCTGTTAAATATTCTAGTTTCATAATTAATAAATACATTAGACTGGAAGAATTTAACCCAGTGACCTCATAAACTAACTTTTTCAGTCCTGTAAATTCTAGTGTCCTGCCATCATGACCACTATATCATGAGTATCTAACAAACTGTATATACCTAGTTTCTGAAGGAACCTCATATTTAGGTCTGCTTAGAAAGAGCAAGGAGATCATGTTTTATAAAGGTAAGAGCTGTTTTTTTTTTTTTAAGAGTTATTTAATTTTACTTATTCGTCCACTTAATTTGACCAGAAAGAGAGACAGAGAGGGAGTGAGAAAGCAAGCCACCAGGTCTGGGACTTGAACCATGGTCAGCCTTGTGGGAGTGTCCACCTTAACTGCCATGGCATCTGCTGGTCCCGGATTTTTTTTTTTTTTTTTTAATATGAAAGCTAAAAATTACTTAACTTCTTTCCTTGTTCAAAAGATCAGTTTGTGGGAACCAGCAGTTAGCGCAATGGCTATGTCTCTGGACTCCCACGTAGTCGACTGCGGTTCATGTCCCAGACCCAGTGGCTTAAAACTCATGCTGGGCGTGTGTGCGTGCGTGCCCAAGATCCCGAGAGGAGAATGGAGGAGAAGGGATTGTGGCATGACCATACCCCCTGAGGGGGGATTTCTTGCTTTCTGTCTCTATGTCTCTCTCTGTCTATCTGGCAAGCGCACGCGCCCTATAGCGAAAACCTCTCCAAAAAAAAAAAAAAAAGATCAGTTTGTTTTGCTAATTATTATCCTGTAAAATTCTTTGCTTGATAATTCTGTAAATAACTTCATTCCCAGTCCAATGTAGTAAACCTTTATTGAATACCTACTCTTAGCTACTGTCCTGGCTAAGTGCCACCAGGAGGTTGGGGAGTGAGGATTGGATGACAGGCCCTACTGTCCAGAAACAGAACTCTCAAGCCAGTTTTCTTGGTTCCGTATGGCATAGTATAGAGGCATTTGGAAATTTTAAGACATCTTGAAGGTAATAGTTCTCAATCCTGAAGACCAACAGAGATGTAATGGTTATGTCACTGGATTCCCATGTAGTTGACCACAATTCAAGGCCCGGACCCTAGGACTTAAAACTCAAGCCAGACGCATGTGCGTGTGTGCTCAAAATCCCAAGAGGAGAATGGAGGAGAAGAGATTGCAATGTGGCCATCTCCCCTGGGGAGTGATTTCTTGCTTTTTGTCACTCTGTTTCTCTTTGTCCGTCTGGTGAACACACATGTCCTGTAGCAAAAATCTCTCCCCCCCAAAAAAAAAAACAGCTCTCAATCCTTTTTTAGTAGCTATGATGCTCAGATATTAAGAAAACAGTTCTACAGAACAACACTGCCACTTGCTAGGTAATGACCTTGGGCAAATCATTTAATGTCATTTGAACCTCATTCCTCATCTCTATAATTAGGTGACACATTCACTGGATCACTATTGTAAAATTTAAAGAAGATGTATATGCGTTAATACCTTCTAAAGAACTGTAAAAAGGCAACAAGTCAGATAACTATTTCCTACTCTCTAACACAGATTGACGTTTGTGACAACCCACAGAGACAGAAGAGCTTCTCACCAAACCCAACCAGAAATAGTTTTCATATACTCAGTAAGGACAGCTGGAGTAGCAGGAAACTTCTCAACAGAGTATGCTTAGTACCTGAGCTAGGCCTCCGGCATGTATCAGTGTTACATCAGGCATCCAGGAACATCCAGGAACCACTAAGCCATAAAGCACAATGACAAAGTAAGGGACAGAATAGAACATATATGCCAGCATCTGTGTTGAACAGAGAAACAGCATCATCAGCAACTCAACATTAACTTGGCCTGAATATAAAGTACAAAAAAAATTAATTTCACTTTTTAGGATGTTAATTCTTATTTCTTAAATGGAACCACATTTTCCCATTTTTAAGAAAATTAATTTCATTTTTAAAATCTTAGGCTTCATAACTACCTGACCTGAATTTTAGGATAAGCAGCAGGATCCTTTAGGTAGGGCTCTTGAAATTGCGTGTATAATCGGCAGAGCTCAGCTGGGCAATCCAGAGCAATCTAAGAACAAAAATGAACTTATTATAAAAATATAATCAAATCTGTCTTTCATTTGCTGACAAGGCTAAATGTGCCAGGTTTAGTCACAAGCTGCTTTGCTGTTAACAAAAACTGCACTGCGGAGGCTCCTCAATGAAAGGGAAAGAAAAGTCATCTGAAGATTTACTTTAAGGAGATGAAGCAGAGGTTACTAATGGAGCAGGAGATGGAAACTAATACTCTTCTTGAATACCTTTCAAATATTCAGTGTTTTAAGTGTCCAGGTTTGGCTAGCCAAAAGCACAGCTTGCTATAGATGACTAGTTTCACTTTACCTGGAAATAACTAGCTGACTACTCCCTACAGGAAGAATATTACATTTCTACACCAAATTCATCCTACTGTCCTTTGCAAGATTCAAATAAAGCAACCTCCTCTCCTCCAGTGCCTCAGAGATCATATGGCTTTTGGGGGCAGTAAATGATCATTTGAAAGTGGGATCCTCTTTGTTGAAGCCACCTCTTGTGTCCTCTTTGAAAGGGGGCCAGCCAGTGGTTAAGGCAGCTGGATCCCATGTGGATGACTACAGGGTTCGAGTCCCAGACACAGTGGCTAGAAATAAGTCAGGTGCATGTGCTTGTGTGCCTAAAATCCTGAGAGGAGAATGGAGGAGAAGCGATTGCAGTGTGGCCATCACCCCTGGGAAGTTGCTTTCTCACTTTTTCTCTGTGTCAAATGAGAAAAAAAGAAAGATTTTTTTAACAGCAGAGTAGACTTAAGCCACAGAGTAGAAAAGTTTCTCTAGCGCATTACTAGGTCTTCTCTAGGTCCCCTTCCGTGAGGCACCCTTCCTTATATCCTTGGCTATAAATGTCATACCTGATAAAAGATGAACATAGGGGCCCATTGCAGAGTTGGTAAAAATGGGCTCCAACCCAAAAACTCATATGCAAAAGCTCTGCCCCACACACACCCACAGGTGTACAGTTTTCTTACATGCATGGGGAAGCGGAAGTGGATACAGTACAAATATAGTGGGGCTCATTATTGTTGCTGTTTGTTTAGGAATTGTAACTAACCAAAGAATGATTTCGGTAGCCCAGTGGTCTGAGCAAAGCTGATGGCCTTGCCTTCATTTCCCTCCCCTGTGCCCCTTCTATTAGCCAACTCTCCTCCAAGAAGTTTCTAACAATGGGGAACCAGCAGTTAGCGTAATGGCTGTGTCGCTGGATTCCCACGTAGTCGACCACGGTTCGTGTCCCGGACCCGGTGGTTTAAAAAACTCACGCCGGGCGCATGTGCATGCGTGCCCAAGATCCCAAGAGGAGAATGGAGGAGAGGGGATTGCGGCGTGACCATCCCCCCTGGGGGGTGATTTCTCGCTTTCTGTTTCTATGTCTCTCTCTGTCTGGCGAGCGCACGCGCCCTACAGTGAAAATCTCTCAAAAAAAAAAAAGAAGTTTCTAATAGTCAGTCATGCAAGCTGAATGCAGTTAGCCATTACAGTTATGAGATGTTCAAATTTATTTCTACTAAGAATAAATCAGGAATCTTGGGCATGGTGAAAGATC